ATTTGGATTAAATTTTTTCATCCTTATTTCCTTTTGCATCAGCAAGAATAACCTGACATCTTTTTTGTCAACATATTATGAAAAAAAGCACCCATACTCTGAAGCCATGAGAGGTTACAAGTACTCCATGTGAATTTGGTGAAAGAAATCCAATGTGGGCCTCACATACTCTTTTACACTCGCGGGAGGATTATAGGTTATTGTCTATACTCAGTTTTTTGGATGAAAGTTCATATTAAATGTTATGCAAATCGAAGCGTCCATAATAAGATATTTAAATGTTTAAATTTTCTTCTATATATTTTCCAATTTGCTTTCACTGTTTCTATATGTATATGTATATGCTTGCAATTGCCCTTTTCCTAATAAAATTGGTGAATAATATTTTTTAGATTAAATAGTAGAACGTATGATTTGAATGGATATTATTGCATGGAGAGAACATTGCAAAAAAAAAAATATAATAATAATAAAAATAAAAACAAAGCAAGAAATAAATATTTAACGTTGTTTGGATTAATTTTCAACTTATAATTCCAGCCACCAAATTGTTAAATACAATTCATTACCTACACGGGTATTGAAATTAACTTTAGAGGGATATTGGTCGTGATTTCTTAATTTTTTTTTATATGTATTGAAATAAAAATTGTCTCAAAAGGTAAATCGATTAAAGAGAAAAACAATATTTGCATATTGTTCATATATATTCTAAAGAAGTACGAATACAACAATGATAAAATGGATCTAACATACATGTACAACATATTAGTATCATATATATAATTGCACAAGACTGGTTAATTATATCATGCAGTCACCTAAACTAGCTCCAAACACCTAAGTTCTAATTACTTCAATTGACACTGATAATGATAATCTGTCAAATTTTTAGACACAATATTTGAAATCACACAACAAAAGAGCACTACGAACAACTGTTAATTTGTAACTTGCCGAATAAATCTTTAGGAGAATTTTAAGTTGCAAAACCTAAAGAAGATGCTAATTAATACCCAACTCATAACACAACTTGAACCAGCCAATATATAAACAATTTTGGTTTAATTAGTATGAAATACTACACGACATTTACGTACCATGGAAGAAATTGAGCTTGTTTTGGTTCCCCGCTACTTAGATATATCTTCCCAATTCTTTTGTTTTGATAATGTTATGGTAAAACCTTTGCTTTCATTTTGATAATATGCATGAAAAAAATGGACTTTCTCTAATAGGTTTATCGGAGATCTACGGTAACTATTGGAACTAATTAAATTCATATCAGATTGAAAAGTATGTAAAATTAATATTTTTTTATATAGATCTAACAGCTGAAAAGTAAGAAATTATTGAACAGAGAGAGATGGTTGTTTTGAGGCTAGAGGGTCATTCTATGGCTAGTAGAGGCTAGTCATAAAGAATGGGCCTGAATTTAATGCGAAGAGTTTACTTGTTGGCACTCCCCAACAAAAGACAGTTGTGGTTTCTGCCTCAATTTCTCTGCTACGACCTTTTGTTGCTTTCATGTAACGTGGCTTAGGACGCCCATGGAATGCAAGTTTTCTCAAAAATATACACAAAAAAAAAAAAAAAGCCCCACCAAAAGAAAAGGTGAAAGGGGACGGACCAAAGAGGGTAGTATTCATTTGTGTCGTATTACTTTTATGGCACTTTGTCTTGGTCTCTAGTTGCCATGCCAGCACCACAACACTCGTCCATTTTCTCTCATCACTTTGCTCATCTCATTTCTAGGCCTTGATCTCTAAATTATTAGAGCTCTTCTTCTTCTCTTTTTTTTTTTTTTTTGGTTCCCTCCTATAAGTTAGTTTGTTAAGGGGAATGTCAATTTTTAGAAAGTTTAATCTAAGGGGGCGTTTTGTAGCTAGGTCACTCGTAATCTTAGAGGTATAAATGACAATCTACAGAAAAATTCTCATACTTAATTTGGTGCAATTCTAATCTTTTTTATATGCGAGAAAGTAAAGTCCATGAGTGTCATATTGCCGAGTTTTTGCCGAAATCCACCCAAAAAGATAGTTTTCAAATTCTTAGGAATCTCAATACCACCATAAACCTAACTTCTCATCCTTTTCTTTCAAGCCCCAAATCCTATCACCATCTGTCAAGATAGCCTTATTAAGTTGTATTGTATGATGTTAATATTTTTGTATGATTCACGGCAGAGGAATTTATGCATATCATGTATTAGAACGTACCAAACCAATTTGCCATAATATATCAATGTGTTGCTATAATACTACATATATAATGCAACAAAATTAACGCAAAATAATCAATTAAACAAGAACACGCAAGACTCACAGTAGTTTTCACTTAAAGTGAAAGTTATATTTATTTTATGACCGCTGCAGAACTTTATTACGACTAAGAAAAAAGATTAGAAGGGAAAGCTCACACCTGACAGTGAAATTAACTAACTTGATCTTTAATAAACCTGTAATTGGCACCACGCCTGAGCCCGTTTGGTTCATGGATTAGAACCATGAGATTAGAATTATTTTCGATTTACGTATATTTTTTGTGAGAGAAAATACTGTAGCGAACTATAAACTATGATTCGAATAAGAGAACGAATCCTCCAACCAAACGGACTTAATAATTAAAGCAACCGAAAGTACAAGTCTACATGAGTGGAAAGTCTAAAGATATAGTCGTATTAAAACTTTGGTGTGGGACAATATTTAGGCTCTAACAGTAACACTCTTTGCTAAATTTGAAGAAGACAATGAACCAATTAATTGGATTTCTTTCGACAATGTACATGCTATCATTCTTGTTCATGAATCATGATACTCAAACTTCTCCTCTGTAGAACATAGTAATGTTTGTAAATATCTTATCCAGGTTTGATTCACGTATTTAAAATCATGATTCAGAACTATTCTCAATATTCGTGTATTTTTTATAAAAAAAAATATTATAATAAATTACTAACTATAATTCAAATTATAACATGAATCATCTATCAAATACTTAATTAGAGCTCGGTGGATCGTGGGAGATGAGAGAGAGAGATAATGGGCTCATAGCTTGCAGCCCAAACCCAAATCCATATTGCACCACTTACAAGCTCTATTCCACCCCTCTAATATTATCTTACGGTAGAATCAAGTATAAAACTACCACTGGGGATTGGATTATGTCTGCAACTACAACTAACTTAAACATCTTGCACATTATTTCAGTGAAAAAAATTTGATAAAAAGTATAATAGAATCGTATTGTTGCCTACTTATAAAGTTGAGGGGCTACTCGTGTTTCAAAATCTAGGAGGGATTTTGAGATGAAGGACTTTCTTAATTCTTCTAAGCCAAGGATCCAAAATTTAGTTCTATTTTTTTTTTTTCATACCAACTTATACAGCAGTGAAATGTCATCTTTTTGGTGATTAATACAATTTCTCAATGAAAGATAACTCACATAGTAAAGTGGTAGAAAAAATTTGAGAGATTTTGAGTTTTTTTCGCATTATTCTTGTTCTTAATGTATCCACCGACTTGCTCTCACGCACCACTTTTAACCATAAATCTTCTTTTTCTATCTCTCTCTCTCTCTCGCTTTTTATTCTTCTCTTGTCGTTTTTGGCGCAAGGCTACATATATGTACATTTTTGGTAACTGACCTTGTTTTGTTGGATAGAAAATTAGTGGAAGGAAACTGGGTGAGGGTAATGTAAAACCAAAGTGCTCTCTTTTTCTTCCCTTATATTTATATAGCTAACGAATAAGAGATATGAATTTTTAGTTCGTTTCCTTCCTCTCTAAAAACAGCAACATAAAATCCCTTCCCCATCATTTTCACATTTTCCCCACCTTTGGTTTGGTATCTCTCTTCTCTCTCCTACCAAACTAACTTGGTGACGTTTTTCTTTTGGATTTCTTCTTAATGATTAATAATTATGAGGACTAACTCTTTGCACCATCTTTACACAAAAATTGTAATGTGACATGTTTTCAAAACAACTTTCAAAATCTGAGGACATTAATATGTGTAATTATTATCTTGTATGCCTAAACTATTGTCACATGTTGGCCTTTGCCACTCCTGATCTGTAGTTCCCAAAATTGTCTAAGACTGAAAGAGACGGGAGCATGAAATGCACCACATGATCCCTTTTTTTATGAGGAAAAAAATATATATATATATATTGTCACATTTACTTGGTGTGAAATCTTAGCAAAAGAAGTTTTTGAGTCTTTATATTATTGCTCTGCGGTTATCAGATTTAATACTCCATTACTTTATAGATTAATGATTTCATATTCAAATACCTCTCAATATAAAAATTAAAGAAGAATTATTTTATTTTAAATTAACTTAATGATAAAATTATCATTCACTTCTTAATAAAGTTTAGAGCTCGAATCACCACATTTCTAAGTCCTTAAAAAACAAATGACTTGAGATTTTGGAACGCAAAAAAAAAACATCATGTACAGCCGACCTGAGCAATGGGGAAGTGAAAAGTAATGAAGTTGAAAAATGTGGTGGTGCTTGGGTAGGTTGCCGACCTAAAAATTGGAATTGATATATGAAAGAAGCTAAACTCCAAAAATGCTGAACATTATTATATAGTAGGTTTAATTGGCGTTTCTACTTGATTTGGACGTCCCCAATAGTTTAACATGACGCATGTTAAAGGACCTAAAGTTATCACATCTTTCAGCAACACCCTCCAATAATTGATTACTTTTTCCATACCATTTTCATACGTATCTGTTCTTAATCTTCATTGGACCATTATCCACTCATGATTATGAAAAAATGACGAGTCATGCAAAAATAATAATAATAGCAGAAAAATTAAAATAATACAAATAAAAAAAAAAAGAGCAACTTGGAATCTTTTGGTAACATTTCAGGTCAAAATCAGTTGTAAAAGTCCAAGTTTGTTTCCCTCCTAATTCCTGACCATGAAAAAAGCCATTACACAATCATAAAAGTATTGGAGTAGGTCTCTTTTATGAGGGCTGATATGGACACATGAAGGGCGTTTATTGATATTAATTGATATGGTTTTTGAAGCTCCAAAACCCACATTATGAAACCTTGAAGAGAATCAAAAATCCAAAAATTTGAAAGACAAGAAAGGGAAGCTTCTTTATTACTTGAAACAATGTTCTACAATATACTTTGAACATTCCAATTCTCATTTCTAACTCTTTGTAGTGCTTCCACCATCAACATTAGTACTAAAATAGTCCCGACATTAGAACTCCGAGAAAACAAGACAAGAACTGGAAAATTATGCCAATTTCTTATCATCCCTTTCTCATTACTTGTCCTTGATGTGTGTCTCTCCCTTTCTCCCTCTCTCTTGTTTGTTTTTGGATCTCTCTCTTCCTTAGAGGCAAGAGCAACATCCTAACACACTCGGTTATTTACAAGTCAGATTTTCCCTCTAGCTCAAAGAGCATGGCTGTACTTCGTCCTCATCGTCGTGTTGTTGCTTAGACGCCAAGCGACTTACTAGCCTATCCAAGGCTTCTATCATCCACCAGTGCTGGCAAACTTCTCTTGCTTCTGTAACACTCATCTAAAACAAAAGGGAAAAAGAAAATATATAAGAGACTTGGTAATTGAAAAGCTCTTCCAATGAAAGATCTTGCATTGAATTGCAATGCATTTTTCTCCTACCCATTTTCTTTGACGGAAATCCATCTCCGGCCACAAATCTAACTCTTCTTGAACAAGCAGAGGGAACATGTAGCCGTCGTAGAATGTATCGTAGGTTTTGCTCTTGAAGCTCCATTTACCCAATTCGCGCTGCAAAAAGTTGTCAATGGTGTGAATGAAATGAAAATACACAATATAGTCAAAATTTTTTATAGGGGTCAGAAAAAATAGAAAATATACTCTATTAGTACCCCGCATGCTTTGAATCGTTATATTCCATTATAATCTCGTTAAATTTGCATATATTTTTAAATAGTGATATAATGATGATATGATTTGACGGTTTAAAATAAACAGTACTTATGGCATAGAGGTTTCATCGCTAAGTTAACTACCTCGACAACTCCTCGTACCCCTGCTTCTTCCAATGTCTCCCTCAGAGCTGCCTCTGTCTTAGATTCATCTTTCTCCCATCCTCCCTGTAAATACAACATCAAATAATTGATTACATTGAGCATCAAGAAAAATTGCAAAACGGACACGTTTGATTCACATTAAGTCTATAAATCTAACACATTGACCAGAGTGGCCAAACATATTATTTGACTTCTTAAAATTAAAGGGAGGAAAAAAAAAAAAAAAACGGGGTTACCTTTGGAAATAGCATGCCTTTGCCTTTCTGAGAACTTATGACAAGAACTTGTAGCTCTCGTAAGGAATTCTGCCGGCAAGTTTTGTATCTATAAGGGATACATCTGCAGAGGCACAAAAAGGATATAGTACGAAGTTCAGTAAAACCCTAAAAAAAAAAAAAAAAAAAAAAAAAAAAAAAAGGGGAAGAAGTTCAAAACTACCCTTTTACAAAAGTTGTAAAGTGATATTTTCATTATTGACTTTCTTAATTATAATTATCCCTTTATTAATTAAAAGAACTTAAACAAATATGGCAACACTGAGGAAAGGGGAATACTGATGAAAGGAGTAATATTAATTTCACATTAAATTTTAAGGGTTAATTCTCAAAGAATTTCAAAAAAAAAATATTGTAATATTTATTTATTTACTATTGTACTTCTTTTTGCTGAATTTTATTATTGATACTTTTAACTCAACTAATTTCACTAACTAGACAGAACCCCATCAAATGTAAGAAAAGAGTGTCCAATTAAAGCACACAAACATTTATTGGTACAACTACTAACCATTATGTCATTTGCATTCTGTACTACATATCCTATTCATAAACTTTTTTTTTTTCCTTCAACTCTTATCTATAGCCGCAATTAATATATTAAAGAAAAAGATTGAAAAACAAGTGGTTGAAAACTTGAAAAGTTCTGCAGATAAAAGGTTGAATATTTCTTCCCTTCTCTAAGATAGGCCCTCACTCAATTTCAGAACCAGAAACCAAAAACATCAATATATATATATATAAAAGAAAAATTAATAAATTCACAAATAGAGGTTTTTGTTCTTTTGCTGAGAAATTCTAGAACAGGGTATTTGAGAATATGTACTTATAAAGATAGAAATCATAGTTTAACCTTTAAAATCTTCGAATACCAAAAAACAAAAACAAAAAAAGGTTTGAAACTCCTTTTTAGGTGAAAACAGAAACATCCAGAAAGAACCAGAAGTAGAAGAGAACAAAAATAAAGAATTCAACAATAAACAACTCAAAAATTTTCTGAGAAAGTTCTCTGCTTCATTGCGGAAAGAAACCAAGAAGAAGAAGAAGAAGAAGGAGAAGACGAAGAAGAAGAAGAAGAAGAAGACGAAGAAGAAGAAGAAGAAGAAGAAGAAGAACCAACCCGACAACTTGACGACGCCCTTTGTTGTAGCGTTGCAAATGCCTTCCGGTGCGAGCCAAAGCGACCGTATTTTCTTTAGAAACCAAAGCAACCATTTTTTTTTCCTTTTTTTCTTTTTTGTTTGTTTTTTCTTACGAACCAAACATAGACGCAACAAAGGAAGGTGGTGGAACAGAATCTTTGGGGAAAACAATTTAATTTTGTTTGTGAATGAAAAAACTTGAGAGTGTTGTAACGACCACAATTATTCAGTTTCGATTATGAGAAAAAGGACTGCTGAGCGACCCCTTTTAAGAACACAACGAGCCCCTTTAGAGCGAGAAAGTTTAGAGAGAGAGAAAACGGAGAGAACGTGTGGGCCCCGAAACTTCGAGAAACGACAACTGCATGATTCTAGACTACGGCGATGACACAACAAAGTATGTTTTTTTTTTTTCGTTTTTTTTATCACTCTTTTTATCACAAGCTATTTATTATTTGATATATTAACTCTAATATTTTATTTTTTATTTAAATAATAAAATATTATATTAATAAAATTTACGTATTAAACTGATATAGTCAACAGGTGTCGAGAAGGGATGGTTTCCACCGAGAATAGGGGATTGCTGGTGGAGATTTTGGATTATTTTATATTTTTCAGTTAAGGTGATTTGAGTGATGAATTTAAGTTAAGTTTGAATTATAATTTGAGTTATAATTATAATTTGAGTTTGTGTTTATATGTGCACATTTGAGTTATGATTTGAATTGAGAATCTTTTTGAGTTTGTGTTTGGGTGAGTCAAAACTCAAATTTATATTTAGATAGTATTTTAATAAAAACTCAATAGTGATAAAAAATTTTAATAGGGTATATGGATGGAATTATATTCGTCTTTTCGTTGTGAATGCATAGAAAAAAAAATCATCTCAATCAAAATTAAAATAAAAAAGTTGTAGCATTTTTAATAATAGAAAAAATATTGTTCATTAACTTGAGTTTGAGTTTATAAACTCGAGTTGAAGAGGAAACTTGAACTCGAGTTTAACTTCAAACTCGAGTTCAAACGCAAATTTTACAAAAGAACATAAATTTAAATAAAGTTGTAACTCGAATTCAAATTTTTTCTGAGTTTCGTTACAAAAGAACAACCATTTGGCATGGGTGAGGGTTAGGGTTTAGGAATCAATTTCAGGGCTGATTTGAGGATTAAGATTAGGATTTTTTTCTAGTACAGATTTGGAGATTTTTTGGGATCAATTTGTAATATTAATTAATTTGTAGAAATTTTTTAATATGGTAAATACAATATTTACTTATTATCAGAGTTAGACGTTAAATTTTTAGATAAATATGTTAAATATGGTATTAGTCAGTAAATATGGTTTTTACCAATAAATACAGTTTTATCAGTAAATACGGTATTTATTAGTCATCGGAGCTGATCACTGAATTTTCAGATAAATATGATAAATACAGTATTTACTGATAAATATCATATTTATCAGTCGCCGGAACTGATCGCCGGATTTTTTAGATAAATATAGTAAATACGATATTTATCAGTGTTGGAGGCGGTTGTCGAAGCTAGCCGCCGGTCGCCAAAGCCGTCCATGGTGGACTTACAATAAGGAGAATAAGAGAGAGGTAGAAATTAGGCTTAGGGGTATTTTTGAGTTTTTAATAATATTTACAACTTTAAAATATCAAATTATTCTATAATCTACTATTTTTAAAAATATATGTTATAATTTACTAAACATCCTACTAAATTTGTTATTTTTTTTCTTACCCCTTAAAATTATAGAAAATATCTTTAGCTCGGCAGCCATACAACTTATATATACATAGATGTGGTTTTAAAGATTACTCCAACGTGTCCATATATATACATGTGTATGTTTTAAGAATGCTCATAACTTATCTTCACTCAAATAATTTGTCATGTGGTAAAATCATTTCCCTAAAAATAAAAATAAAAAATAAAAAATAAAACCTCTCATCAATTAGGCCAAAACCTAATTGCATTTCACATTTCTTATAGTGTGGCATTTGCGAGCCACAATATAATAACATTTTAGGTATGTGTTCCACAAATTAAGCAGGTATTCTAACCTAAAACCTTAATTGTATGTTGGTGGCCAATAGAATGGCTACTCTTTGATTGATTGGTGGTGCTTATTATTCGGAATTGGCATTGGTGAAATCAGTAACATGCCTATTTAATACCAACCAATGACCAAATAACCTTAAAAAAATTCAGCAAAAAAAAAAAAAAATATATATATATATATATATAAAGACCTATAACCAAAGAATTATTTATATGCTATTATTTCTCCTTTATTTGTTGGGGGTGGGGGTGGGGCAAGAATCAAATTAGCATATAAATCGGATATACTAATAAATCCTTTTTCTTCTTTTTTTTTTAAAAAAAAAAGAAAAAAGAAAAACTCTAAATTAATAAGCAAAGTATAAAACCAAACATTGATGTATACGAACTCGCATGCCACTAATGTACAACGAGAATCAAGATGTTTGATATATTAATAAAAATAATAATAAAGTAAAAATGAGATGTTGGATAATATGGAAAAATCAATGTTGATGATAATGCTCTTTGAATTGACGTTCATTGTTTTCCTTTCCAAATTTAAGAAAGTAAAAATGTTCTTATCTAGTTTGAGCTTGGCCGAACATCATTGGGCGTGAAACGGTGGGCTGGTTTGGCTTTAAGGGCCACTCCAACTATGTTAATTATATCATGTTTTAACTAAAATAGTTAATAATTTAATTAGAATTAAAATTTTTTTTTTACTTCAACCATTAATTAAATGATTAGTTATTTTAAAAAATCTATTTTACGCTAGATAAATTATACATATACTAAAGGAAAAGAAGAGTTTCACTGTTCACGCTACAGTGCTATGAACAGTGTCTTTTTTGTTTTACCCTTAGTTATTTCTTCAGTTTATTTTTATTTCCGTTCTATCCTTTTGAATGTAAAGTTACTATATTGACATTTATTTCAATTTCATTTGTTTTGGTATATTCTCACCATTTTGGTCATTTGCACTCAGATTGAGTATTTTATTTTTTTTCTTTTCGTTTGCTACCTTCTACAACCTTCTACATCTTTTTTTTTCTTCGTTTCTGGAGCAACTTTTCTTCCTTCTGTTTGCTGCCTTCTGCAACCTTGGTTTCAGAAATCCTACCTCAAATTTTTCTCTTGACGTTGAAAATTTTTTTAAATTCCTCTTTGGTTCGCGATTTGGTTGGTTTTGTGTCAAAAATGAGAGGAGAGAGAGAGTGAGAGAACGAGTGTGAGAGAGAGAGAGAGAACGAGTGAAAACGACAGGAGAGAGAGATGCACGGGAAAGAAAGGAAAAGGAAGAAAGAGGAAAAAGGAAAGGAAAAGAAAAGAAAACAGGTGTCAAAAATATTTAAAATGTCAGTCCAGAAAATGTGTCTACACACTCTGGGGTAAAAAAAATGCAATTACTGAAAATATTTAAATTCCTTGGAATTATTTAAAGTTACACGTCAAAACTATTTAATAAATAATAATTAATTATTTAAACCATATTAGGCACACTAATAAATCTTAATTACCTTAATTAATCCCCTTTAATTCTTCGGGGTGTTACAAGTTGTGACAGTTTTCTCAGCACTATTGGTGAAACAATATCTAGGTATTTTTAACACTGCTTTATTATAAAAATTTTATATACATAGGTAAAAACTATAGCATACATTTATTTATTACTCTGCTATATTTCTAGGTAACTCATATGTTTCGAGTACATCAACAACAATCTTCTATATTGAGCCGATATTCCATAAACAACAACGTTAAAGACAAGATAAATATATATATATATATATGTATAATATTTTTTAATAAATCTATCGTATTACATATTCACAAATTTTATTTATATTTTCCTTAACTTATTTTTATTTTTATATATACAGATTTTCCCATCAAAGTCAACAAATTAAATTCCTACCACCGCCAAAAACACCGATCCAAACAATTGAAGAACAAATATCAGCAAACAAAAGAACAATAAACGAACTCAAAACATTGGATGCAAAAAACAATCTGGTTAGTACTATTAACTTTCTTATTATTTTTTTATCACACTTAGTTAAAAATTTAAAAAGACAATATTTTACTTTTTATTCAGGGTGCAAAATTCACTGTAAGAGAAACCATAGTAAACTTTTCAACATGTCAATGATGGTTCTACAATTCTTGCCCCAACTGTTATCGACAATTAAAGCAAGCAAGGATAGGTTGGTGGTGCGATAGTCATGGCCACATAAAGTCAACACCATCTCCATGGTAATTACATTTATTACCAAAGTATTTTTATTTACTATATACCTTTATTAATTCTAATAAATATTTTATAATATTAAAAAAATATTTATATGTATTTTACAGGTATAGATTAATAATCCAAATTGAAGATAACACTAGAGACATGGAGGTTATTGCTTTTGGCAGAACCGCTCAAGCATTAATAAAAAAATCATGTTCTGCATTAACAATTGACGAAGGCTTTACAGATCTATTTATAATACCACCAGCTATTGATAAGATTCGAGGACAATCAAAAATCTTCCAAATCTTCTTTCAACAATGAAGCACCCAAATGAGCACAATAATTTCTAAAATATTTGAAGACATCCATGTTCCATCATCGCCACCAAAACAGTATCTACAGGAACAGAAGATCCACAAAGGTAAATGATGTTTCTTTTATCTTTTATCAACTATACATAAAAAATATTTATATTATTTTGATTACAATTGTAAAAATGTTATCCTTTTTCAGCCCACAACTAATACTAACAGCACAGCTATCAACACCAGTCACATTTGATCCACACACTCTGACGCCTAAGAAACCAGGCACAAGGTAAGACACGTTTAGCACAACAAATATTATCAACTAATTTAAATATATATCTAAAAATTCTTCCACTTTTACAGCCCTGAATCAAAAACAACAAGACAATCTGGAAAACGTCCAAAAACAAGGTAATATAAATATTTTTAAATTATTTTTTTCATATTATAGAATTTAAATATCTTTAATTTTCTTAACACTTATATTTACAAACATTTTTACCATTTTTATATTTGCAGTTGAAAAAAAGAAAATGCTCAAGAAACACAACAGCGTTGTTTTTATTTTGTACAATTTGTATATATATATATATATATTATAAATAATAATACTACATATATCGATGTAAATATGTTTGTACAAATTTTATATC